TGGGAGTGTGTCTTTGCCTTGCTGCTGTTGATTCTGCCTTGCTGCTGCTAGCTCTGTTTTGCTGCCGAGTTTGACTGTCACCTATAAATACAAACTATGAATTGGTGTTGATAGTCACCACCATATATAGTTGACTATTAATTTGTATTCTTTCTTCTGTAACGATGTCATTTGACATCACCACCTGAAGATCATATTCCATCAAAATAAATACAAACACTAAAATTTTCATACAACAGAATGTATGGTGTTCTCAGTACTATATTATCTTGAATAAGGCCCACAATTCATGATGATGATTTGTGCACTTTTTCTTGGGTGAGTTTCTAATGTGTAGCATTTGAAATTTAGAAATTTCACAATATTTAAAAATCAAGAAGTTTCTCAATTTCTATACAGAAAGTGTGCACTTTTGCAGTTTCTTAAACATTGTAATTTTTTTAGTTTCTCAATTTGAGAAATTGTGAAATTCGACATTTTTTCTTACAAAAATTGTGAAAATTTCTAATTTCACAATATAGACCACCAGTTTACTCCAAAAACAAGCATCCAGACTGATCAGGATGACCATCCAGACAGATGAGGATGATTGACAGATGAGGAAAAAGCAAGACAGATCTGGAGCTGACCACCAGATTTGATCTGCTGTAGACCACCACAAGCATCACAGATCTGGAGCAGACCACCACAGATCTGGAGCACACCACCAGAATTGATCTGGAGCACACCACCACAAGCATCCAGACAGATCTGATGCAGACCAGCAGAATTGCTCCAGATCAGTCCACCTTCATGACTGATGCAATACTTCACCATGCAGACCACCAAAGGAAGAGAAAAGAAGGAAAAAAAAGAAATAGAGAGGAGCTAATTTAGAGCAATTTTGGACCCCAAACGCCCCGGTTTTGCCTACTTTGTCACACTTTTATGTCCTACATAACTAATAATGCGTCCTATCGAAGCGTTGCTTGCTTTCACAAGTTTATTTAATCTAGGCCGAGGTGACCGCTACGATCTCGGATTGTTTCCAGGCTGTTTCCAACTTTTTGCCCCAACCAGCTCGTTTTTGCCATATCTATCACATTTTGGTTTCCATGGAACAGTCACAAATTCTTGTTTAACTAGTCATCCTTGGATCAGTGGAACATTACAATGTTTAAAGTTTCTACACTGGTCAACATAAACTAAACTGTAAATTCCATCTTTACCCCCCTATCCTCAGAGAGTATGTCTTGGTTTGATGACTAAGAAAATGATACATGAATATTTACCCCCCTTTCTTTTTACCTCCTACGTACGAACCATATGTATAAATATAGGACCTATCATATCTATAAAATAATAAGATCCACTGTTATTTTACAAAGGATCATGCTAATGATAACCTACAGTCTGTCTTTAAGGGGGAGATAATACCAAAATAGTTAGAATACTAAGCACTTTTTACATATTTTTATACACATTTAGCATGTATATCAAGACTAATACTAAATAGTTAGAATACTAAGCACTTTTTACATATTAGAGAGAGTGGTTGAGAGATGACTATCAGTTTCACTACTTGCCTACAAAATTAACATACTAAATATGCACTAGTTCATTTTGATGACAGGAAAAGATTATAAAAAATAAATAGGTACGATGGGGCGGCCCCTACCACCTTGTAACCAAGTTTCTATTTTGTCTTGGGTACTTGATGTTCTTGCTATTTTAAGGCAATTAGGTACGTTTATCATCGACTAGAGAAACAATTTCTTCACACATGACTGCAAATTTGGTACAACTGAGTTATGGTTGATGGGGAGGCCCCTAACAGAGTGTAATGCTGTTCGAGCTAAGTCTGCCAAATGAAAATGGAGTCAGATTTTGTACTAGACAGTTCATCCTCAGAGAGTATGTCTTGGCTTGATGACTAAGAAAATGATACATGAATATTTACCCCCCTTTCTTTTTACCTCCTACGTACGAACCATATGTATAAATATAGGACCTATCATATCTATAAAATAATAAGATCCACCATTATTTTTCAACGGATCATGCTAATGACAAATTAATGTGTAGTCTAGATTTTTGCAGTGTTTGTGGCGGGCTTCATCCCGTTCTTTTGAAGATTCTTCTCAATGTCAATCATATCACGTGGTAGTTCAATTCCCCGGAATAGCAGTTTCAGGTCGTCATCAACCTTGATTGGCACTCGAGGGTCATTTGGATAGGCTATGTCCTCTTGCGAGTCGAAGTTCGACAACAGCCAGATTTGACCAGCAGCTTTCAAAGCCTATGAAGAAAATACAAATTTTGCTCTAAAACTCCAAGAAAAACGAAAATTAAAGGTTATAATGCAAAGTCCATGCAAGTATTTGGCTATTATTTTAGGCGGTAACACAAACCTGTAGATCCTCCATGACAGTTGGGTATGCATCCTTGAGATCAATAACAGCAATGCCCTCTGGAAATTTACGTATTAGGATGAGTAGTTGATTCTTGTCCTTCAGAGCATGTTTGGACTGTAATCAAATAAAGACCAAGTAAATTCTCAGCACAAAGACAACTTTTTTTCGAAGCTTTTTGGGCAGGCACCTGTAACAATCTATGAACTCTTGGGGAAGACAGAGAAGTTCAATTGTCTGCCAGGGTTCCAGGTGAAAAGATTAGGATTTACCTTGTAAGCGAAGCACCTCCCATCATAGTTCACTTTTGGGTTATTCCTCAAACTGTCAAAGACAGCCTTGTTGGAATTAATGTCAACATAACATGCTTCATTTATTTGCTCTGGTGTAAAGGCTTGCCTTGTCTGCAGAACAAGAAACATAAATAATTAAGGTGTAATTAATCCCTTTCAAGTGAGCCTACAAAAAATGAGAGGACAAATCAACCAATGACTTCCCACATGCCCCTGCCTCGCACACTGGCATCCTGCAGGGGTAGGTGGGTTGTGCAGCAAGTATCAGCAGCAGGAATAAGTTCAAGGCTCACAGCATAAGAAGTATTGGAGGAACTATAAAACTTCTACAACCTCTATATTTTTTTGCTAAGTCTATAACATAACCTCTATATTTGAACACTGTAGATCTACCCAAAGAAATCTCACATTATCCAACCCCCAGCTGGATGAAAAATCTCGAGAGATAAATAATGCTCAATATGTAAAGAGCCCCAGAGAAATCGGTGTAACAAGTAGTGTCAGACTTGTCAGTGTTGGGAACCATAACCAGTTTCCTCTTAGCCAATATCATTGCTAACAACTGTTATGTTATGTGACTAAGCACCTTGCATCCTTATTGATGAAACTGATAGTTTTCATCTAACATGTCCAAAACATCAAAGGTAAATATAGAAATTTTCAACTTCTCAGGAAAGAACTTGTATAAAATCGATATTTTCAAGGACCTTCTACTTACCCATCCCCCCGTGATAGATTTAGTTACAACGTGTCCGTGAATGTTCTCACAGAGGCAGAATGTTCATAAGACGTGGTATGAAAGAGCACCTACAAAAGGGAAAAGAAGAGATATCCAGACTTTGAAATGATGTTGAAGTGACGGAGGCTGAAGTTATTGAACTGAAAGCAAACTAAAACATCTTTAAACCAAGATCAAGATAAACAAATAAAGGCTGATGGACTTCCATTAATTTATTTTGCAAAAAATTTTAATGAGTTTCGATCATATGTAAGTCAACATTTTAAAAATAGAATGCATTACATAACCACGTGTGAGAAGCTTAAGCATGCATGTGGAACACTGTAAAATACCTAGCATGCAAAATTACCCAAAGGTAAAAGAAGCCAAGACTGCAAAAACTGACATGAATTATAGGAAACTTCAAACTGAAAAAAAGTCACTAGAAGAAAAATATTCTAAGTGAATGCTCATGTAAGAGAAAAAGAATTACAGGAACACATTCTTCATGTGATGTCAACTGTTTTGCCAAAGTCCAGCGCAGTAATTTAATTAGAGCAATGTTAGAAATGTAGAAAACTAAACATAGACTTTCTGCTTTTGTGAGACATTTGTAAATTTGTGAGATATTTTTGTGTTTATTATGTGTTTGATTCTCTATGTATTTAGACTTTCTTGTTTTATTGGGTACTAGAATAAGGTCTATCGTATTAGGATGAGTAGTTGATTCTTGTCCTCCAGAGCATGTTTGGACTGTAATCAAATAAAGATTATATTAGGATGAGTAGTTGATTCTCAGCACAAACATAGATCATATTAGGATTAACTACACTCAATGGTACATAAAAGTATGTGTTTTGTTAACAGTCATGTCACTACAAGAACGAAAAACAATGAGATCGAAATTAGGATAGGGCCACCAATGAGTCCATATCCAGGAAAATCCATTGCCAACACTATATACTCAATTCAAAAAATTTAATGGGTATTCACAGCTAGCATCTTATTATGATTTTAATTGGGTATGTGATAGAGATACTCACAATATCTCCAAAGTCTGCAGTAGTCCTAGCGTTGAAGGAATCTTGCCACTGAGTTCATTGTTATTAAAAACCCTGCTCAAATTAATTCACAAGATGACATTGAAATTAGGGCTCAGATTGAGAGAAACGGGGCTGCCCAGAAATTCAGTCCAACATTCCTCATCATATTATAAAATTAAAAAAAGAAGAGAACACCCATTCTGTCAACAGTTAAAAGGCAAAATTGAGTGGGACTTGTCATTATATATGCATATTTCATTCAAACGCATATTTAAAATATCATTCTCGTAACAAATGTTGTTCTCTTTGTCACCATGAAAGCTTGTTGCTTATACTTGCCATACGGGTAAGCAATCTGCATAAATGCATAACCTGTTGTTCTGTCATTCAAGTGCATACCAGAGACTCGTGAATAAATTGCTGGTTCAAAGGAACTCACACATGTATCAGAGACATATTTGAATTGAAAAGTGAAGTCTCTGCCAATGATTAAAGTAATTGCCGAAGCTACTGAGTTTCTTTACGAAGTGACTGAACTTCTTTCATAATCTCAGCTTGATTTTCTAGGATTGAGCTCATCACACCAGACATTTCCATTTGTAGAGTGATACAGTGAGTGGAAGCTAGATAAAGAACAACAAAAGCAAAGGAATGAACTTGAATACTATATATATATATATACCTCCTGCATATGAAACTGCCTTAAAATTTCAATATGGAGGTTCCTCATATCTTCATGAATGGATTTCTGGAAGGCACCAAGAGTTTCTTCAAGAGTGCGTTGAAACAGCTGAAGTGTAAAAGAGGACCCCTGCTGTGTGTGAGGTCGAGATGGGATTCTCGGGGGTTGTGAAACTCCTCCCTATTACAATACTACAGGTCAATGACCATTCTATTTTAACAAAAAATGACGCTAGCTTTAAGAAATCTGGGGTGAAAGGTTAAGATGTTGAATTATCACAAAGTGTAAGTCTACCTCACAGTTCCAGGAATAAACCTAAATTTAAGCTCACAAAATGTAAGTCAAGTTCACACCTAAATTTAATAGATGGAGGCACAGGAAAATTGTACAAACAAGAAATTAGATAAATCCATGATGGTGATCTTACATTCGCATATGGAAGAGTCCTTTGTTCTGTAGCAGATAATGTGTTCGTCCTTGATAACAAGCTATTCAACAGTTCTTCTCTCATTTCAGCTCCTGTTTTCTTTGTTTTTGGTGAACCCACCGAGAGGGATGTTCCATCACTAAAGGCCAGATTAGTACTCATCCTTTCAGCATAAGTGGTAAATTTTCGAGGGTGGTTTAATGCAGACCCCAGAGAATCAAGGTTAGACTGCCCTAAAGTAGTACTTTTTGTTCCTAGAGAAAGGGACATAGAACTGAAGGGGATATGCTCTGGAAATCCCAGTGAAGACTCTTGATTGGAGGAGTTGTCTCTGTTGCGTAAATTTGTCGAGATCAGGTTTGAACTTGTTAGGTAACTCATACTTGTCTGGCTAGTTGCAGAAAATGAAATACTTATAGCCAGAGGGACAGAGGGAAAACCAAAACAATACAAAAAGAAAATGAAATAATTATAGCCAAACAGTTCACTTCCCACCTCAATATGATGTTAGGGGCATCATGGACTGAAAGGTCAATTTTGATCCTCAAGTGGAAAGGTATACAGAATTTTTTTTTTTTTTTTTTGATAAATTGGAAAGATATACAGAATTATTTAAATGATGAGTAATTAATGCTCTCAATCTAAATTAGTAAATGTCAGGCAACAAACAAGTGATTCAATAAAATTGAAAGGGAATTAGAGAGGGGCAAAAAGTAAACCTGTTTGGAAGTTGAACTAGGTTTCCAGTCAAAAATTGGATGATCACTGCCACCTCCTTCCTTTGAAAGAGGAAATCTCCTATTCGATGAAGGAAAGAGCAAAGAAGGTTTCTTATCAACTCGAAGATGATCTTTTTTTGCACCCTCATGCTGATCCCAAAGTTTATCAAGCGATGGTGTAATAGGTTGGACTTCCACAAGTGGGGAAAACACTTTCATATCATCCTTGAAATTATAATTACGAGGAGCATGTAATCTCGTCAAATAATGAAAAAGGTGTTGTGTGTGATTTTTAAGCTCAACATCTACTTATCTTTTTCCATTTCAATCTCTCTTTTTTTTACCCTCTTTGTGAAGTTATTGTTTTTCCATAGTTTTTATTCATCAAGAAATCAATGGATGTGATTAACCCTTTTTCTTGGTAATTTTTACTAATTATGATAAAATTGTTATTACTTGAATTCTGACAAAATACAAACTTGAATGCTAAATAAAAATGGGTCCTAAGGGTAGGATAAGGTATTCCAAATCTGAATGTCAACCATATTTATGTAACTACCAGCAGGTTTAGGAGGTCAGATCAGCAAGACAATTGAAGGACACAAGGGCTACATGGCTGCAGACATATCCACAGCATGGGCAATTGGCTATAGCATTACAAGTCAAGGTAGAGCTGCAGCCATGGCCACAGCTCAGAACAACAGAACAGTTGCAGCAGTTGCAGCCACAGCTCAGTCCAACAGAGCAATTACATCAGATTGCAAATACATTCAAGTTCTTCTCTGATTTTCTTTAATTTTAACATGAGGACCAAGTGTAAAGCAACAGCCAGCAATCTTTCAATTAAATTGAATGAAATCACAAGCTTTAATAACATATGGCTTTAACCAATGAAACCAAAAAGGAAAATAGTAAGTAAAACTTATAGGAAAATGCAGACCAGTTTAAGCATTCTTAAGGAGAACTATGTCCATGTGCATTTGTTTTTACATAAAGGTGCCTACGTGTGTCTGAAGGTGAACTTTCTGCATGCGTGCAAAACTAGAAATTATACCTTCTACAAGCTATCACCGCTACCAAATGAGGAGTTCAAAGGAGAACTTCTTCGAGTGTATGTTCGGGGACTATTAGCTTCAGATGGAATACCATCACTCCTTGATTCTATTCTCCACTTCCGTTGATGACCACGCGAAATTAATGCTTTTAAACAAATAAACCATTGCTCAGCTTCATCTTTATCTTTACAAATCTAGAATCAAAGTCATTTACCAAATTACAAATAGAGTAAAATATATATCTATTTGGAAACTACTCTAAAATAGTAGAAAAGAATTGGTATTTTAGGAAGGTCATTGCAGCAACTGAAAATTAAGAAGGAAATGGATATGTCAAATGAGATGCTTACCAAATCTAGTGACCTGTCATTCTATATAAGAGAGGACTGGTACTCCTTCTCAGGCCGTGGATACCTTTGAAAGATCGGCTAAAAAATATTACACGATGAAATGAAATTTTAGGGCCTTAATTCAGTCAATCCATATCAAGAAGAATTTATGTTTTATTAGAAGTGCTGAAACTAAGTCTACAAAAACTAGCTGGCAATACAAGGGCAAAAAGGTCAGTCAAGAACACACAAATTCTAACAAAATTCACCATCTCCAGGTCTGTTGCTTCCATCAACACCACAACAGAGGTACAAGATTAAAAGACATCAATGAAACTAGTAGCAACAAAACAAATAAAAGGATTCAGAACTCAAGAAGCTCAACATCAAAAAATAGATAATAGTAGTGAAAGTTTTCTCTTTCCTTCTTCCTTTTGAGACACAAAAGAAAAACCAGTAAAGGTTTTTGGAACAAGAATACGATGACAGGTACAAGCAATGTCCATTACCTCAAGGGACTAATTCTTATTGCTAAGAATTCTCAATATGATCATGGATTGCTTAATTTGTTGCAGAAAGCTAACAAAATCATAACTAAAGTGGCTTCTATTAGTTTCATTAATTTAAGTGAAAAAATGCAGTTTTTAAAATGTCATTTCATTTCTGAAATATTTTCCAGATTTTCAATCCAGAACTGAATTGACAGATCTAGTGGATGAAACTAATAGAGGAATTAACACTAAAATAGAAATCTGGAAAGAACAAAAATGCATTTGGCAAGGAAAAATCAATTAGGACACATAAATTGCAATTTATATGGCAAAGAGAGAGAAGAACCCCAGCTGCGAATTTATCAATAGAAAAAAGAAGCTAAAATTGTTGAGGGAAAAACAATGAACCATAACCATAATTACCTAACTTGACTATAACTGTCTAACTAAACAATATAGTTAACCTTTAACAAACTAACAACTAATTTGCAACTTGCTTTGCAATTCACATGTTCTTGAAATGAGAGAGAGACTTCAACTGATGAGAGAGGGTTGTAGCTGATACTGCAGCTACTGTAGCATTAGTAGCTCTGTCTGTTCTGAGCTGCAGCCTTGGCTATGGCTGCTAGCTGCTGAGGTGTGGCCTTGGTTGCTGGATTGTGGCCTTAACTGCTCTGCCTTATCACTGTAGCCTTGGCTGTAGCTGTCTAGTTTTCACTGCCTTGACTACCGTGGCCTTGGCTGCAGCTGGCTGCTGTGGCTGATCTGTATCACACACAAGGATACCAAATAGCCATTCTCACTTTAATGAGATCACACAGCCACCCTAACCTTCACTACTTCACCCAACTCAACACAAGAAGGCTGCCCATTATTAAATACACAGTCATTCCTGAGTTTCCATCTCCTCTCTTCTCTCCCCAAAAACCTTCATCCAATGTTCCTAAATTGGAGACCATTGTTGAAGAAGGATCCAACAAGTTTGACCTAGTGCATAACCACAAGTTGATGTATCTTCTTCCTGTGGTTCTTTCTATTGTTTCCTACATATTGATAGACAAATACATCATTGCTTGAATTGTAGTCCTTTTCACACATATCATATCCCTCCTTTGATGGACGAAGAACCCCTTTGTTGTTCTGCCTCAAAGCAATCCTAACCGTTTGATCATTTGATGACCTGAAGACATGATCTAATTGCTATGAATATTTCGGGACAACAAGACAGATGAGGTGAGATATGTCTGTCTATGAATTTGGTTGAGATTGTACCGCCCTTTCAAATCTCTCCAAAGACATTCATTCTATAAAAACAGACACATTTCTTGAGGAAAAGATCTAACTAGTTTGATGTTGCGCACATTATGTTTATGTGATCCTGTGTTTCTATCTTTTCTCTATATAGCTAAATAGATATGTTCTTAATTGATGTCAACATGATTGTAAAAGGGATAAGAGAGATGTGAGCTGCAAGAAAATTAGCTATGGAGAAGTGTACTAACAGATTATATGCCCCCACAAGGGTTAGGTGTTTCTAAAGATAGCATCATAAAAATAAAAAAAAAAAATCCCATTCTATTCATAATATATATAGAAATAAAAGAACTCCAGTTTTAATAAAGTAGCATACAATTAATCATAAACACGATTAAACTAGAATAAGGTTGCAAAGATAAAATCAAAAACCTCTTGAGAGACGGGAAAGCTTAACAGCTTCTTTAGGCGCAAAAAATATTTTACACAAAATCAAGTTGTCAATGGAGTCTAAAATGCAATATGAAACAAGGGATGATATCAACAAAGCTCACGTTTTCTTTCCTCCCATCAGCAAAACAAGATTAAGGCAGTCAATATGTACACAAATAGCATTCCTCTCTGTATAGCTAAATAGATATGTTCTTAATTGATGTCAACATGATTGTAAAAGGGATAAGAGAGATGTGAGCTGCAAGAAAATTAGATATGGAGAAGTGTACTAACAGATTATATGCCCCCACAAGGGTTAGGTGTTTCTAAAGATAGCATCATAAAAATAAAAATAAAAAATCCCATTCTATTCATAATATATATAGAAATAAAAGAACTCCAGTTTTAATAAAGTAGCATACAATTAATCATAAACACGATTAAACTAGAATAAGGCTGCAAAGATAAAATCAAAAACCTTTTGAGAGACGGGAAAGCTTAACAGCTTCTTTAAGCGCAAAAAATATTTTACACAAAATCAAGTTGTCAATGGAGTCTAAAATGCAATATGAAGCAAGGGATGATATCAACAAAGCTCACGTTTTCTTTCCTCCCATCAGCAAAACAAGATTAAGACAGTCAATATGTACGCAAATAGCATTCTATTGAAAAGTAATCCAAGCAAAGTCGAAAAGCACAAATTAGAGATGCTGGTTATCAAAGAAATATCACCCTAACACGCAACAAAAACAACCCAACTCCATAAGTTTTCAACCGTCCAAGAACCATTTACTCCATAATCTCTGAAGAAGCCTACAAAAAATGCAGCCATAATTAACAACATTACTTCATTCATTTATACGAGTAAATTTCCTTGCACCTTGAAGAAAAAAATTAGTATGTCTCTTTAATTAGGTTTGAGGGGATTTCTAAAATAAATTATCTTCATAGTTAAAAGTAACTTTTTCCGAGCAAATTTTTTTCAACAAAATAGAGTGTCAACTTGCCTATTTGCTACAAAGAGAAACCAAGAGGGCCAAGATATTGTGGGGGCATCGGCATGGATTCTCCTGTCATTGTGTGGTGTGTTGTCATCTATGAAAAGCGCAGTTTGAAGTCAAGTTAATGTTTCTTTTCCATTACTTCGGTGCATTATCTAACAAAACAACATCCTGTTCTGTAGGATTTTGTTTTCCTTTCAAGATTCAATGATTGATTATAAACAAAATATGATTTAATAATTTCCACAACTAAAAAAAATACATGACAATGTGCATATAGTGCATCCAAGTTAGAAATGTTTCAACATAATTCTGCTAGCTCAATAAGCAAATTCATCCAATTGTAAATTAAAATATCCAAATAAGCATAATTTTCAATAGTAAATACTTACCAAATCATCATAATTAGGCCCAAAAAATAATTTTTTTATAGGAATCAGGCCGTCAATTTTCACCAAATCAACACCACCAAGTTCACATACTACTTCAATCTCTTAGTCATATCCTATAATCAAGTAACACACAAGTAGAACTCAGAATTTGCACGATCAATGCAAAAACGTGTGCACAGTAGTAGATATATAAACAATAAATGCACAGGTCACCAGTATAATCAACGCTGCAATAGCACGAACCGTCAATTTGCTGCCACAAGACAGAGTGGAACATATACCTTGTTTGCTGTGCTCTATAAAGGAACATATCCTATGTCTGATAGCAAAAGAAAAGCTAAGACAAACAGCATTTTCTAGTAAAATAAATTATGAATGGAAAAGAAAATTAAGTAACAAGCCCGCGGGGGACCTCTAGCCAGTGATTAATGAAGAACACTACAGCAAACATCAATTGTGGGGCAAAAAACTGATTACAAAATATTATTATGAACAATATAAAAAAGTAGTGCCAAACATGGACTGCTTTGCCAGATACAGAGTCGCCACCTAAATATTTTTTAATGGGGGGAATTTAGGAAACCCTGACTCGGTGCCAAAGGCCACATGTCCGCTATCACCGGAGTTGTCTTGGCTCGGGAGCTTGGGTACGATCGGGGAAGGTCAGCTATGAGCACCCCCTTTCGCCCGGTCCGAAGACCGTCCTCTACTAACCATGATATCAATTTTTGAAAACATTGTGTGTTCTTATTCCAGTTATTAGCCTAGGTTACTATGTGATGCGCACAGCATACAAGTATAGATCGGGTCGCCTGAATTGGAAAAGAACATTTCATGTTTGCTTTTTTGGAAGATGATTTTGCTACTCGCAAGTAGGCTTAAAATGCAGATTTTGCCACCCTCAGGTAGGCTTAGAAAAGATGGTTTTGCCACTATCTAGTGGGCTTAAAACAAGCAGTTGATGATTTATTCCAATCCAAGTAACCCAACCTTCACCCACAGGCATTCAAACAGTTATATCACATAAGCATATAGCCTCATGGTAAGCATGCTATTCATGGCAGTCACTCACACGCATGCAAGGATGCTAAAGCATAAAACTTACCGAGTACTCCAAGCCAAAACAGAAACTACATTAGAAATCATGCATGATCCTAAGTATACAAAAATGCCTAATGCAACACATGCAAAAATGCAAACTATAGCAGGCTCGGCTATTCTAAACATGGCATATGAAATGCTACAGCTAACATGTATTCAACTTGGAATTGAAAATCAGATACAGTTAGTATGATGTGCCGAGCCCGGTGCATGCAATACAGATGAATGAATGCAAACATGCGAATTGCATTATTGCATGTGTTGCATTAGGCATTTCTGTATACTTAGGATTCATGC